TGACACGCATCCTGCGATATGTCAAAGGAACCATTGATCATGGCTTGGTCTTTCGGCGAGGCCCACAGACCATCTATGCATATTCTGATTCTGATTGGGCCAACGATATGACAGATGGACGGTCCGTTACAGGTTACTTGATATATCTTGGCTCTAATTTACTCTCTTGGAGTACGGAGAAACAAAGTCGTGTCTCACGCTCGTCCACCGAAGCCGAGTACAGAGCCCTATCGGCCGCAGCAGCTGAGGTGATGTGGCTCACCTACTTGTTTGACATTTTACAAATCAAGCTCCCTCCGCCACATCTTCTATGCGACAACCAGTCCACCATCTGTCTGACTAAGAATCCAGTCTTCCATAAGCGCATGAAACATGTCGGAACGGATTGCCACTTTGTACGAGAACAAGTAATTGCAGAGAAAATGACGGTTTCTTATGTTCCTTCTAATGAGCAGCTGGCAGACCTTCTCACAAAAGCTCTTGCCTCGCCACGCTACACCGCATTGGTTGCCAAGCTTCCTCTCGTTTCACGGCGTTCAGCTTGAGGGGGGATGTTAGACATATATGGAAAGAAGTCTAGTTATAGCAGAATTGTTATTTATGTTAGTTTACTTATTTGGTGAATCCTAGTCCATGTAGGGATCCTCACCTATATAAACATCCATGTACACAATTATTCCTTAAGAGTGAATTCATAAATCAACAGTCATCGTAATCGCATGGCACACCCTGGTACATAGCAAGTTCGTTGTGTGAGCTTACTGTTGTACCACTTGAACTCGTCGAAGACTAGGCACGCTTCCCTTTCTTTGCAAGAAGGCCAGCGACTATTCCGGCAAAACCTTTTTTTGATTTCGGAACAGAGGTGGTGCTGTTTCTTCTTGTTTAATTGTTTTTATTGAAAAACCTCGTTCTTGAGGCTTTAATGCCTGTTGACAATAATCAATAAAACCAAGTTTTTCAGAAAACATGTATGGCAAATTTTCTTCACAAATCATTTCGGCCATTTTTTGCTTATTTTGCTCGTCGCTATAAGCAAAAAGGCTGTCCTTACCTCTGTTAGCAAACCGAGAAATTTGGGTTTGCACTTCTTTTCGTCCCTTCTTTTTTGCCTCGTATTTGGCGTACTCCACGGGATGCCTTGACCTTAGGTGTTTTTCCGGACCGCCATAACCGCCGGAAACTCCCATTTTTATGACGGTCCCGCAATGTTTACAAGTTCCATTAACTATGCCATCTTTTGCGTCTTTGTCAAAATGATAAACAAATAAATCTGATTTATATTTTTTTTACCTTTGTCCGGACCTCGAGAGGTCTCAGGCTCACCTGCCTCCACGCCGACGTCGTTGCTCTATGGTGTAGGCTCCCCGTCCCCGTCTAGATTATCCAGTCCTTCTTCATCAAGATCTTCGAATACACTATCAAGAGTGGGGAGATTAGCGTCCCCTCTACCAGAATAAATCTGGTCGAATTCTTCATCCGTCATACCGTCCCCGATTAAATGATCTGGGACAGTAGGAAAGGAAGAGACGGAGTGTCTTCCTCAAGAACTGCGTGAGGTCGAACCGTTGGAGGTGGCTTTAGCTTTGCTTCTCCTCAAACTTCGATTCACGGCGCCCATATCCACGGACCTTCTACCGGACTCTCTCGACATTTTAATATATATTTTTTGATATAGAAAAATAATATATTA